AAATATTTTGGATGAATATCTTAAAATTGCTTTGAATTTACCATTATTTTCACTTCAATAGAAATGAATTTATCCAGCTTGCAATATATACTCTCACATACCCTTTTAGGTCAAAAGAATTAAAAAATATGAAAAGGAATTTGCAGCAATGAGAGAAGAACAGAAACAGGAAGACGATCCAGTAGAGAGGTTAAAGGTAGGAGATGAAATTATTGTTATATTAGTTGCAGTTGTAAATTAGATAGGGTCATGCAGATGTCTAAAAGAAATTTTTTACAAAACTTCAGAGGCAGAAGTAGACTGCATTGTGTGTATTGAGTTTATTGTATCTAGAATGTGGTATACTTGCAAAGAGAAAGCTTAATAAATAGTTATTCTTCAGTACTGTTCTTTATGGAGCAAAATATAAAAAAAGCACATTTTTTATGCATGTCTGACAGTATTTTCCCTTCCAGTTATTACTTCAAGAAAATTAATTCTTTATATCAAATGTGACTATAATTTATTATGTTTTTTATCTACTTGAATAATTAACAACTTTTCAAAATTCAAAGTATCCCTAGTGATGTGATAAATGTTATAAGATAAAAGGAGTTTGAATTTGATGACAAGATACCTACTTTGAGACAATAATGTTTGATGATGACAAAACCTTGTGAAAACATTGTGCTTTGTTACCATGTTAAACTTTTAATAAAAGTTTTACATTACCTATTCAAGTCATCTTCAAACTTTAAAAAGGAGCTCATTTTAACCAAATTAGTTTAGAGCAAGCCAATCATACTTAATAAACTTTAAAGTTATGCATTAACAGTACACATGACTAACTTATGCTAGCAATAGAAAGAACAATGCCATAATCCTAAAACTTTTAAACTATGATGCAACAGTAGTTCCTAAATATAATATAGCTAAGCTTTATCAAGAATGAAAGTTGATTTTTATAGATATAGGCTATGTGTGGAAATATAAAACTATTACATCACAATTTTAAAAAGGGAAAATATTTTGTTAATTACACAGATCTAAAACCACTTTTACACTTTAACAGTACATAAAAATCAGTGTGAGTGGTGGTGAAAACAAATTAAGTCAAGAAATTAGTGGTGTGTTTTGGAACACTTTCATTAATCACACCCAACAAAACGTACATCATGTATAATAGTTAAATGAACCACCTAAATGTCACGTTAGTGTAGCCTATGTAAAGTTTAGTATACTCTAATCCCTTATAGTGATGGCACATGACAAGACACACATTTGTCATGTAATGCTGTTTGTATACAAGAAGGGAAACAATGCCTCTGATGCCACAAAGAATATCAAAGAAATTTATGGAAATGTTTTGAACGTTCATAATTGTCATTGATGGCTTAGAAAATTTCATTCAGGTGATTTTAGCCTTAAAAACTGTGATGGCAGGGGCAGACATGTTGGAACTAATATTGATCTCTGAATATGCTTGTTGAGTCTAAACCAAGGCAATACACTCGTTAAATGGCCCTGAAATTGCATGTCTCTCATGCAACAATACGTAAACATCTAAGGAATTAGGAAAACTCCATAAAGAAGATGTTTAGGTGCCTCACGAACTCTCCAATGATCATCGCTTCCAACGTGTGAATGTTACTTTGTCTCTTCTGGCATGTAATGCTCGTGAACTAATTTTGGACAGAATTGTCACTGGTGATGAAAAATGGATTCTCTCTGCAAATATTAAATGCCAAAAACAATGGCTCAGTCCTAGACAAAAACCACTTCTGACCCCCAAAACCTGGACTCCATCTGCAGAAAGTGATGCTTTGCATTTGGTTAGTAATTCATTTTGAACTCCTCAATCCACAGCAAACTGTCAATGCAGAGATCTATAGTCAGCAACTGAAACATTTAAATTAAGTCCTTCATCAGAAACACCCTTCACTTGTTAATTGGAAAGGTGTTCTTCTTCTCCACGACAATGCACATCCACATGTGGCATGTTTGACACAACTTCAAGATTCTCCATATCCTCCAGATATGGCACCATTAGATTACTATCTTTTTTGTTCGCTGCAACACCATCTTAATAGGAAAACGTATGCAAATGTGGAAGGTGTTAAAGAAGACATCCACATGTTTTTACT